TTTGTTTATTTATTTGTCATTTACATGTGAAACAGTTATCATTCCAGTTCCATTTTATGCCTTTTTTTAATAGATCTTCAGTGGAGCTCTCAAATTATGCATATTATGTATATATATTTAATAATAAATAGCCAGTCCTAGAAAAGCTTGTAACATAGTCATGTTTGTTGCTCGAGGCATATTTTTAATTGCACTTACCCTCGATGGATCTGGGTGACAATTATTTTTATAAATAATTTGTCCAAGGTATTTCATTTTCAGCAAAAACAATTCGCAGTTTTCTTCACCGAGCTTGATTCTGTACTCTCTTAGTTTTTCCAAAATTGTTTTCCCATGGCCAATATGTTGTTTTTTAGATACACTTTTGATTGTCATCCAGATACAATCCAAAAACATGGTATCCATAGCTTGTTGAAAAATAATTCCAATGAGCATTAAACAGAGAGCTCTTGTCACTAAAGTTTTTCATCAGAATGTGTACCATGTCCTCAAACCCAATATCATATGCTTTTTTTTGGTAATATGTAGTTGCAGTATTTTTCATACTCTATTGAAGCTATTTTCCTCAAAAACAATCTCATTTTTCTCTCATCTTCCCAGCCACTGCATTCCTGACTGAATATGTGTTCATATCTATAAAAATATGCAGAAAAGATTCAAGATTGTATTCATCAAGATTGTATACAAATTCTGATATGGTGTTTTGGACAGTATCTGGCTTAACAGACGTCGAAAAATTTTTTGTTTTCTTCAGAATTATATCCAACAACTCCTGTTGCTGTTTTTGTAGTTCTAACAACTGCTGATTTTATTGTTGTTGCTGTTTCTGTTATTGTTGTTGAAGTTCAACTACTGAAGCCAAAATTTGCCCCATATTTGCAAGAATGTTTTTTTCCCTACACCCAAGAGAAAAATTTTTTTTTTCTACACAACAAAAAAAAAAAAATTATTTTTTAAACCAATGTGGTTAAAATTCTTGTCGTCACCCATATCCTTGGTCCCAAAGCAACAAGTATATCTTTTTTCCTATACTTATTCACTCAGTATGAGTTTCTAAAATACTTGTAACTCCAGTTACAACTCGTATGAGTTCCTGAATATTCATTACTGTTATTAGTTGTAAGAGTTCTGAATCCTCGTCACAACAGTTATAAATCATTTGAGTTTCAAATCCCTCATCACCACTGTTATAGCACACTTCCTAACACTTATAATATAAGTAATGCTTTGGCTACTTGCCATGATGCCTGTATTAATTAGTCTGAAGTCTGGCTCCAAACAGCTTCTTCTTTTCTCTTACTTCTAACCTGGAGTTTATATATCTTATCTCTAACTAGTCCATATAATCACCAGGGATATACTATTTACTCCATAACACTGGTACATTTAAGTTTCTCTTTGTAGCTTGCTATGTCAATTCTATTTCAGGCAAGATAGCAAGAATTGGTTAAATTCTTGAAGAATATTGATCAATTTTGACCGTTAGTGTAGTAAATGTCAAAGAATCCAGCTTTTTAAAATCAAGATGCCATGAAAGTAGCTACTTATATATATATGAATGACCTAATATTGATTTATCAGATTGAAGCAGCCATAATAAAGACTAACTTCTATGGCCAAGCTGTAAATTGAAATGATGAACCTTAACAACATACAAGACACAGATGATAAACTTTTTTAAAGATTCAAATATGCATTGAGCATTACATATCTGAATCTACTTTCAACAAATATTTTGAACAGTTTTAGTAATATGCAACATTTAATAATTAAAATTGCTATGATATAAAGATTTCATGCCAAAATGCCATACAAAAAAAAAGGCTCAATATAAATGGCAGGCTAGAGGAAAAAATACCAAAATTGAAATTTAAAATAAGATTCAATTTTCAGTCAGTAGAAAACAGACTTCTTCTTCTTCTTCTTCTTCAAGGCATAGACGATCATGACTCTCCATAACTTCCTATCTCATATGACTCTTCAAAGTTTTTATCCCTTTGCTAAGCTCCCCCTCACTTTCTGCCATCCATTTATGCAAGCTTATTAGGTAAATGGCTTGCTTCCTTCCTCTATCACTCTTGCCCTCACTATACTCTGCAAGGATTACATTTTCCAAGCCCTCCTTCTTCATTATGTGTCCAAGGAATTTCAGCCATATTTTCCTGATTCTAAGTATATAAGTGTTCCTTCTGTAGAACCACATTTCTGCTGCTGCTAATTTTAATTTTTAGGATGCATTCTGGATGTTCCTGGTAGCCATCAGATCAATCCAGTATATATATTTTTTTAATTTTTGATTTAATTCAATCTTATCAAATTGTGAAATGAAAGTTGTTTTCAATGGACACTTCTAGATATTTTTACATTAATGATGGTACCCACAGGGTTCTATCATTAGACCTACATTGTTCTTAATTTTCATCAATGACCTTCCCAATGTCATCAGTTCTCAACTTGGTATCTATACTGATGACACAACTTTTTACTTCAGTCTTAATGGTAAGTCTGATCAGTTTGATAAGGTCAAATTTGCAGCTGATTTAAAAAATGACCTACAATTTGTTGTTAACTGGGACAAAAAACGGCTTGTTAATTTTAACATAAAAATAAAAAACGTTCTCTTTTAATCATCTTAGGAAACTGTTTTTGCCTTCCATCAGCAAGGCTGATGATAACATTCAGGGGAGTGACTCATTGCACCTTCTCGTGCTAACATAATAGAGCCTATCTTACACCTTTATAAATCTACCATTCATCCATCCATTGAATATAATTACCATATCTGGTCTGGTGCTTCTGCTATGTATTTAGAGATTTTTGATCCAAAGAAGAATCGGCAATATCATCGGTCATGACCTAGCATCGAAACTTCAGTCACTTTACAACCACTGTTATGTAGTTTCCCTGTGCCTTTTCTATGAATATTTTTGTGTTAATTGTTCTGATAAGCTTTCCTCTTTGGTACCTTGACTTTATGAATTTAAGTTCAGAACTAGATTGGCAGTGAGGTCCCATCATTTTATAGTTGAAATGACTAGTTTTAACCATAAGTTTGATACTAACAGTTTCTTCTCTCAAACTTCTTGCTTGTGGGACTCTTTCCCATCCTCTTGCTTTGCAGTCAACTCTGAATCTTCAAAAAATTAAATGTAAAGTCGTTATCTTTTGTCTTCTTAATTCCTGTTTTTTATTGTTCTCTCTCTCTTTAATAAATGTTTTTCTTTTCTCTTCTTCTTTCACACTTAATAACCCCTTGTATCTTAGTGGCTTTATTGGTTTTCTTTAGGGTGAAATGATATATATATATATATATATATATATATATATATATATATAATCAATAGCAATACAAAAGTTATAATAATTATTTTTAGACAGATGCAACTAAAATAAGAAACTTGGCATAATCAACCATTTCTGATTTTGATATTTCCCACGTCATGGCAAATCCACTTAATCAAAGTTAACTCATGGATACATTAAAAACAAAATCTGGCTGAGCAGTTCAATGCATTGGGCTAACTCTGGTAACTGGCTTTCTGGCTGTGAATACTTTCCATTACCAGGGAAGATAACTACTATTCTGATTACTCAGTAAGATCAAAGTCAATCCAAATGAGAACTTTTACCAACAATATGTTTAATATGTCCTTTTAAGAATAACTGCTTGTGGACAGGCTGGATTGCTAGGCTGTGCTGAGTATAGCTTGATCCCTACTGGCAATAACATCTCTCCTTTTACTTTCTTGTATTTTGTCAGAAATATACGCATACATGCACCTACTTTTTTCTTTCTCCCATATAAACTTTTAATTTTAATTATAATGGAACATTACATTTTCAACCTATGGAAAAGTTAAGTACATCAATGAATTTGTTGGATACATTACACTACCTGATGGTGTAGAAAGATTAGATTCCTAAAAGAATGATTACATCAGCATCCTGGAATGTTTAAGAAAAAAAAAAGAAGGAAACGTTCTATCTTGGCTGTAAGCAATATCTTCCAAAGATAATCTCCATATGAATGTTTTCAGTTTCTCTTGCAAAACCATCAAATTACATAAAAAAACTTTGTCAGAGTTTGGTGTTGTTGTTGTTGTTGAAAGAAGTAAGGAAAGACTTGGTATGTGTTGAGTTTATCATTGCTAATATAAAATATCAAAATAAAACTGTATATTAGTAGAAATAGCAGCAACAGAGTGTGTCAGCCAAAGATATTATCAAGATAGAAACCCAGCAGAGTAATTATTTATCATATGCCCCAGCTAGCATGTAACAATCAGAGTTAGATACAGAATTGGATTGTAAAGTTTGGTACTTTATGCATAGATAACAAAAAAAAATGTTATAGAATAATATTTCTTAAAAAAAATAATGACTTGTTTTAACCTGGTCTTATTTATTATGTGTTGATTTTCTAAGCTTGGCTTAGATGTGGCTCAAAGTTGAAAGTATGGGGCAGCCAGTGAGGATCAAATTCACTATTCAATTGTAATTGTTCTAACAAGACAAGCTTGTTAATCATTACACTATGTCAAGGTGCCCATCTGTTTATTATATCTAACTAGCTAATATATTTTTTTTCAAAATGGTTTTAAAGTAGATGCCAAAATTATTAATTTTACAACAATTGTTGCTCAATTACCTACACAGTCTTCCCCCACACCACAAATGTGCACACAGAGTAAGAACTGAAAGAGTTCATTTGTATAAATCCAGAGAAGTTGTAGAATATTAAGTGAATGATTAATTGATTTGTTTTTTACAGCTTATCAACTCTTTGCAGGTTTTTTAAAAGCCAGAAAATATTTTTAGATTGTAAGAATTTTGTGGAGAATATAATAATGATTTAGTGATACAAGTCTTACTAATTAACCCATAGCTGGGAGGTAGAAGAGGGTAATTGTAAGTGAATGTAGCAAACCCAACAGGAATTGGAACTCAGCTCTCCATTTAACAATTCTGAACCATTATCCATTACACCACCCATGCATCCAAGCTGGTATTCCCAAGTGGTCACCCATCTAGGTACTGACCAGGCTCGAAGTTACTTAACTTCAGTGATCGTACAGGAAGCAGCATTTCAACATGATGTGGCTGTAAGCCAGGAAAATATTAAATTTAATTATGTAATGAAAAATTATATCATCTCTTTTAAGTTGTAAAAGAAATGAAGCATAGAGCCACATAACATTTGTCCAAAATCTTCTGATAAATAAAAAAATACCTTTTCCTTCATCTGAGCTAATAAAAGATAAAATTGCTAACAATATGAAAATTATAGTTTTTGAGAATACAGTAGAATTTCTCTGACTTGTATAAGCAAATAAAATAGAACTCACTTCCAGATTTATGTTTTGATCAAAAAGAAAATTACAGGTAAATTATCTGTATTTCTGCTATTATGAATAAAGTAAGGTAGACACTTTTAACTTACATATTCAATCTAACATACATAATTAAATCTGTAAATTTATAAAATATTAGTTTTAATTTTTCATAAAAAATGCTGATAAAAGAAAACCAGGAAGTTAACGCAGATTCTAGATAAAAACAAAAATAAAAAAAGGAGCCTTCTGAAAATACTTTTAGTCTAGATCTGCTGCTAGGAAAGTTGGTTCACTGTGACTTGCTAGATAATTTTTCTCACTAGAATCTATCTTACACATTTATAAGTTTACCACCTTCTCATACCTTGAGTATTCTTGCCACATCTGGTCTAGTGCTTCTGCTATGTATCCAGAGATTCTTAATGAAATCCAAAAAGAATCTGCAATGTTATCAGTCCTGACTAGGCATCTCACCTTCAGTCACTTTTCCACTACCATAATGTAGCTTCTCCATGCCTTTTCTATAAATATGTTCATGTTAATTGTTCTGATGAGCTTTCCCCTTTGGTACCTCAACTTTATAAATTTAAGTGCAGTACTAAAATGGCAGGTAAGTTTCATAATTTCACTGTTGAAATTGCTAGATCTACCATAAGTCCTATGCTAACAGTTACTTCTCTCATTGTAACTCTCTTCCGATTTCTTGCTTTCCAGTCAACTTTGATTCAAAAAACAAATTACAGGTAAATTATTTGTATTCCTGCTATTATGAAAAAAATAAGGTAGACTATTTTAACTTACATATTCAATCTAATGTGCATTATTAAAACTGTAAATTTATAAAATATTAGTTTTAATTTTTCATAAACTATAACTGATAAAGAAAAACCAAGAAGTCAATGCAGATTCTAGAAAAAGCAAGAATAAAAAAAAGTAGTTATGAGAGTGCTAGGAAAGAGGATATTTGTTGAAAGTTCCTTTTGACTCAAAGGGTAGATCAGAAGCCACAGTAAGTGTCACAACACTTACTGTGGCTTCTGATCTACCCTTTGAGTCAAAAGGAACTTTCAACAAATATCCTCTTGCCTAGTCTCGTGACCCAAAAAATTCAATCAGGGATATAGTGTGAGAAGAAGAGAATGTGCAGTACAACTCTGTTCTCATAAAGTCCCTCTCACAAAAAGAAGATGAGATGGCAGGTCTTAAGTAACAAAGTGGTAGACCTGTACATCCCACCCCTTCCAGTAAAAAGATTACAAAAACCAGTGCTTGGAGCGGCCTCACTTTGAGAAACAAGCCACGGTAAACACTCTGCCTTCTACATCTGACCACAACTCCACACATGCAGGTAATTTCACTTATTTTTCCACATTTGCATTTCCCCATTCTAGGCATTACCAACACCTTAATACAACACACGGAACAGAATTGCTGAAAGAAAGGAACAACAAACATGAATTGTTCTCAAATAGATTTATTTATATGGCTATGTCATAGAAGAAATTATATACAATAATATACATACTTATCACTAATTTATCCCACACAGAGAAATTATAACATATGAATACAACAAGCAGTATGAAAAGGGAAAAATATAAGAAGTGAAAGTGTTTTAATTGTAATATTTCCCAAAGGGAAAATATACAGGTAAGTGTTGTCCTCTATGTACTTAGTGAGACCATGTGGTTTCCTTTGCTATTTTTAACTGTTGTGGGCAAAGTCTTGCTTCTCTACTGTCTACAAAGCAATTGATGTTGGCAGACATCTTGTCCCTATGCATGCTAAATATCAACTGGAGTTCAGCACTGCATGAACTGATGTCACTTAGCAACCATCACATAACCCTCATGACGTTGACTTAATCAAAGGAAGATAATCATTCTTCACATCACTGCAGGATCATTCTGAAAAACAATATTCTACATCTGCTGCTATTAAAGGTGGTTCACTGTGTCATGCTTGACGATTTTTCTTGTCAGAATCTATTTTGCACCATTATATGTCTACCATTCATCCCTGCATTGAATATTGCTGCTACCTCTGGCCTGGTGCTTCTACTATATATTTAGAGATTTTTGATGAAATCCAAAGAAGAATCTGCAAAATTATCAATCCTGACTGGGCTTCAGTCCCTTTCCCATCTCTGTAACATTCCCCATGCCTTTTCTATAAATATGTTCATGGTAATTGTTCTGATGAGCTTTCTTCTTTGGTACCTAGACATTACAAATTTAAGTACACTACTAAATTGGCAATTGGCAGATAGGTATTATCATTTTACAATTGAAATAGATAGCTGTAACTGTAACAGTTTCTTTTTTCACACTCCTTGTGCATAGAACTCACTTCCAGCTTCTTGCTTTCCAGTCAAAAATTGAAATGCATTATTAATCATCTTATGTCTTCTTAAATTGTATTCATTTATTGTCCTCTATCCTTAATGTTTTTATTCTAAGATTCTTTCACACTCAGTAACCCCTTGTGTCTTAGTAGCTTTATTGCCTTGCTTGAGGTGAAATTATTTTTTTTAAAAATGGAAAGTAAAATACAAATATCTTTGAGCTACTGTAGTTCATTAAATAAAATTCAATGACAGCTGTCAATAGATATATAGACATACAGATATTACAGATTAATTGCTACCCAAATATTGGAAACAATTGGGAACAACTTGTCAAAAGTTGACTGACTTGAAACAGCCTAGAATATTACTGAAAAGAACCCAAATGAAGAGTTAGTAGCTAGGTTTTACAATTTACAAGTTTTGATCTGGTAAGCTTGATAGTATTTTTTTTATAATCAAGCAAAAATTTAAAAATAATAATAATTATTATTATTATTATTATTATTATTATTATTATTATTCTCTATGCCATGTCACTTCAGGACATTGGTGATCTAGGCTCTCCACAATTTCCTGTCCTTTGTAGCTGTTAATAAATTTTGTCTTTTTGTCATCTCTCCTAAATCATGATCTGTCATCCATTTACAGAAGCTCGCTAGGTAGGTTATGCATTGTTTTCCTCTATCCCTCTTGCCTTCAATGTAACTTGTGAGTATCAGATTTTCTAAGCCATCTTTCTTCATTATGTTCCCCTTAGAAATTTCAACTATCTCTTTCTGATTTTAAGTATAAGTGTCCTTTTTTTCCATCTTCTCTAAAACTTTGTTGTTGCTCACATGTTCTGTCCATAGTATTCTCCGCATCCTTCTGTAGAACCACTTTTCTGTTGCTTCAAGTCTTTTCTTCATCTTTGATTTGATTGTCTAGCATCCACTACAATATAGGAGGACTGATATTACATAGTTGTTCAGTACTCTTTTCTTTATTTCTAACACAATTTCCCTGTTTTTTAATACTTTGCTTAGCTTTTGCAAGGTTTCTTTCACTAAGTGACTAAATTTACAATGAATAACTTACATTTCTGAAGTACATTCTTGAAAAAAGATGAACAGAAACTGTTTTAATATTTTATTCACATGGAAATACTTCAAAATGATAAAAATAGCTGAGAAAAAATTCAAGTTCAAGATTTAAGCCAGAGTTTAACAACATTCCTACTAGATGACCTGCAGTGACTAATTTTTTCTATTCCTGAATAGTTCAATATAAACAAAGTATCAATAAATCTTATATCTCTAAGCCATAATATAAAATACTCCTATTTAGAAGGATTTATGATGCTTATTAGATACAAACTGCAATAAACAGTATCAATCATGAATTATTAAAATCTTTAATAAAAATAGAATGTTTGATTGGACAAACAAGAAAGTATTAAATACTGATATTAATAAAGAGCAATGATATTTTATTTAGACTATTAGTTAAACATGATTTTAGAATATTTCATGCCTTTTTCATATGTAAACCATATAATTAATGGAAGTTCAATATGAGTCATCTCTGTTAGAAAGGCTTTTGTGTTTTGTGTCTATGTTAATATGACTATCAGTGTCAGCAGTAGCAGTGAATCATTTTAACAGTGACAGGGAAACTGGTATATCAACAACACTGCTTGAAAATCTATTTTTTTAATCCTTAATAAACAATACTTCCTAAATACAAAAACAGAAAGCAAGAATTTATCTTAAGATTTTAAGAGTTAGCTAAGAAGATTATGAAAATTTTTCAGGTATGAAATATTTATTTATAGGGCATGAATCTGTACTAATTTTTATACCATATGTTCTTTATGAACTGCTTAGCCAATATATTAATGATTAAGCCCAATACTAAATATTAGCTGAGCCTATGAAAATTCCATAAATGCTGACACCTACAATGTCATCATTACTTTCACATATATATTTCTAGTTACTGACAGACTGCTATTTTAAGCTGAATCTGTTAAAATACCACTGGTACTGACAACTAATCATTACTCTCATATATATATATTTCTTATAAATTTCTGGCATATATTTCTACAATTACTGTATAAATGTACAGATGATGATAATAATAATAATAATAATAATAACTAGTTCTAACCTGTGAAAATTTCATAGTTTTCCTATTTGAATTTCCTGATGGATCCAAGCTAATAATTGAATAAGCTCATGGTCAGTTCTATGACAATAAAATATCAGTAGAAATTCCCCTATTGCATTGTTAAATATTTGAGCTTAACAACTTTAACAAAATATTCCAATAAAAATCATAAATATGTGTTATATAGGAATAAAGTGTCGCTGTCGACACTTGAGTTTGAATATAGATCACCAGTGAGCAAACACAGATGATCCCAGGATTGAATTAAGTAGAC